TCAATTAAATGTAAGATTTACACACACTATTGCAGAAATCAAACATGCAGACTCACAACTTCAATTCATACATTTGAATTAGCTTATAATTTAACTTTCCGTGACATTTAAAACTGAACAGAAGTAATCCTTCTTCAGCTGCAAATCATCTGCGAGGATCATTTCTCTACTTGTATTTCACCCGAAGGTAAACAAATGGTATTTAATTCAATCGTGATGGATAATTCTGGTAGGCAGCCACAATAAACTGGTAAGTTGCAGGTGTGTGTTTATTCAATTCAAAGGATCTATCAAAAACTGCCGAAAAATAAACTGTTACTGGAAGATACTTTAAGACTATCTCATTACAAGATAAAGCCCGTAGAGCTGTTTAACCCTTTCTGTCAAAGTATTTTGATCGGTAAATCTCCTCTTTTATTTGCTACAGGCTTCCTAATGATTTTGTAATGAGTATTTGATGTTTCTTTATCATCATCTCGTCATCTCTTTGCTTGACGATGATTTCAAAATTGTCAGGAGAGGTTCTATGGAAATCACTATTGAAAGTCAAAGGGTACTTTAAATAAAACAAAAAAACTCACCCAAGGCAATTTGAAACACGGAGACCTCATAAGTTAAAAAAACACCAAAAGAGTCAATGATATACAGTTTATATTTTTATAGTCCTTACTGTAAATTTGCAGCTGTCAACGTTTTGTTCCTGAATAAGAAGTAACTAGTCTGCTACAATAACGTGAATAACAAGACGGTGTACCAGAGAGATTATATACATAATAAGAGCCACAGTTTCTCACTTGGATGCTGGTGGACCAATAACAACAGTTTGATGACCAGTGAAAGCAGACCTGCCTGGTAACTTGACCCTCAGCCACTGTGGGATGAACACCATTAAGCCAGCCTTGGCCATGAGTCCCACACCTATTAATTGGTGGACAAATGGTTGGCATTTTTGTTCCTGCAGCTCCTTGGAAACGGTACCAGCCAGAAGAGATGGGGTTGTCGTACTTAGGAGACCCGGTTTCTTGTATGTGGTTTTACGGTCAGCACTGGTCAGAGTTGAGTAGCTTAGACACTCTACAGCTAAAGCAAACATTTTTTGTTTGGTCAAAGTATTAAGGAAAGTTCACGCATATGCAAACTCAGTGAAAGATAGAGTAAGTAAATGACAACTTTTAAATTCGGAACGAGTTTTGATCATTTTGTATGAATGGACACAAATAATTCTGTACAATCGGTTATGTACATAATAATACTTTAATGTATGTAATTTACCGATTGTACGGTTGGTAAACTTGTTTCAAGAGCTGACGATGATCCAGACGTTTCATGAAACTATTGTAACGCCCATGTGCACCATGGGTAGCCACGGTAGATAACAGATTGATCCGGCATTGGTCAGTAGTAGACTTATAGTAGGTCGAAAACCGACCAATAGTTTACCGATGCCTTAGTCGAATTGTCAATCGACAATTGATTGGTTGTGGGCCCACCATTGATAAATACTTGTAGTCAAAATAAATCTTTTCTCTTTGGAAACTTAAAACTTTGGGCATGTTTGATTTACTTATGTCACCTTTAATACGTTAGTTTCAGTACTGAGGCAATAGCTATTGTCAAGAGATAGGTCGTTACGTGATGAATACACACATTGGAAGCGACCGCTTTTTCAGTTGTTAGCGACAAGTTGCTACTGTGACATTTATTACAAAAAGTCATTTTCTTCTTCTTTCCTTTTTTTCTTCTTCACCATGGATATTAGGGCATGAAGGGTGGACGATTTTGGGATTCATCTGTATTTGTCAGGGTCAATAACCTCCATCCCAGCAGAGCCAATATGAAGACCAACCCTTTAGCTCTGTAGCAATCTAAATATTCCATTTCTCTCCCCTCGTTGGAAGGCAATTTTCTATAATCGAAATAATCNAATAGGTGAACTTGACATCATCGTGTAAATGGTCAACTTGACATGCTGTCAAAATTTGTCCTTTAGCTGAAATCTTACTTAGGAATGCAATTTTGTTGGTGTTTATCAATATACATAAAAAATCCAAGCTTTTGTTTATTTTGGTCAGCTACTATGTGTATCAATCAGAACAACCTACTTCGTGTAAGTCTGATTGGTTTCTAGTCAGATATATTATTGCTGTGCCTACCAGTAGTTTACATTTGTACTTGAGTTAGTACTTTTGCTCTAGGGATAGATGAAAAAGGTACTAGCTGTTTTCAGCAAATCAGGAGTGAAATTTTTCATGTATGTCAGTATTGTGATAAAAAAAGAGTTGTAGTCTAAAAAAAAGAGTTGTAGTCTACCATAAAGGCCTAATACACATGTCTTGCTACCAAGTTTTAAGCTAATAAAACAAAGATGTGGTTTACGGAATTTTGATGACACAGACGAAAATGCGGGTGGGTAGATGTAAATTTCACGTCAGCACGGGTTATGAAATCGGTTGCCCCAAAGTTTTATTACTGATTTTAAAATTCCAGTGATGGCCTTCACTGCTCATATAGGAATAATGATCAGAAGTGGTTAGTCATCGGAGATATTGAGCCATAGAATATCCTTATTTTTGGACGTTGTCAAAACTAGCAAAAGTCGTCTTTACTTAAGCGAGAGATAGGGGAAGAAACGCAATAAAAAAGTTAAAAAAATTAAATTTTCTTAAAGCCTGATAGATATAAAACACAACCCAGTTGATTGAATTTGCAGATGGATTTTTGGTTTGTTACAGCGGCAATGCAAAGTTAGCAAATTAATTATACAATAAATCCAGGGTTTTCCCAGCGGGAGCCTATATCTCCCAGGGAATTAAATATTTTGACCTATTTTTTCACACATTCGTAAACTTATGATATTTATCATTTGTGCCAAGTTTGAGCCAAATCGGTGATTTCAGGTTTATCGCCCCTGCCCAGTTCTGCCCGGTTTTCTCGTGGAGACGCTCTTAAGAAAATAGTAATAATAATGATGATAATAGTAATAATAGCTATAATAACAATAATATTAATAATAATATTAATAATAATAATGATAAGGACGAAAAAAGTGCTAAAAATGAAATACTACCTCACAATAATCCTAAGATTTGCAGTCATTTTAAACTTGTATAGCTAAAGGAAAATAAGGGTTCACTGGCAAAGAATGATAAATCATTATTATAGTTAATCAAAGGCTCTGTGAGCCAACTCGTGAATTGGATAAGCCAATGTAATTTGTGTCGTCAATAGAAATGGGTGTTTGATTTCTATACTAAGAATA